GCCACCATGCCCAGCCAACAATTTTTAAATTTTTTGTAGAGATGGGATCTCACTATGTTGCCCAGACTGGCCTCGAAATCCTGGCCTCAAGTAATCCTCCTGCCTTGGCCTCCCAAAGTACTGGGATTATAGGCATGAGCCACTGTGCCCGGCCAATGAGCTTTTAATGTACACCATGTGGCAGAAGTGATGCTATGTGACTTTTAGGCTAGATCATAAAATGATACAACTTCCACCTGGCTTTCTGGTGTGCTCAGGAGGCCAGCTGCCATGCCGGGAGTACACTCAAGCCACTCAAGTATATTGGGAGGAATCAAGGCATTCCACCAATAACAGCAGCCATCGGCATGCCCTGGGAGTGAGCTGCCTTGGAAGCAGATTCTCCAGTCCCAGTCAAATCTTCAGATGATGGAAGCCCTGGCCAACTCCTTAACTGCAACCTTCTGAGAGGCCCTGAGCCAGAGCAGCCCAGCAAAGCCATTTCTCAAGCCTGAGCTACAAAGACTACATAACATCATAAGGATTGACCAGGCAGTGACTTATGCCTGAAATCCCAGCACAATGGGAGGCTAAGGTGGGAGGATCACTTGAGCCCAGGGGTTCAACACCAGCCTGGGAAACATAGCAAGATTCTCTGTCTCTACACAAAGTATAAAAATTAGCTGGACGTGGTGGCACATGCATAGTCCCAGCTTCTCAGGAGGCTGAGGCAGGAAAATCACTTGAACCCGGGAGGCAGAGGTTGCAGTGAGCTGAGATTGCGCCACTGCACGGCAACCTGGGTGGCAGAGCAAGACTCTGTCTCAAAACAAAGACAAAACAAACAACAACAAAACAAACAAATTAACCAGGTGTGGTGGCACACACCTGCAGTCCCAGCTACTCAGAAGGCCAAGACAGAAGGACTGCTTGAGCTCAGGAGGTTGAGGCTGAAGCAGAGCTATGACTGCGCCACTGCACTCCAGCCTGGGCAACAGAGTGAGACCCTGGTCTTTAAAAAAAAAAATGCCAGGCCGGGCGCGGTGGCTCAAGCCTGTAATCCCAGCACTTTGGGAGGCCGAGGCGGGCGGATCACGAGGTCAAGAGATTGAGACCATCCTGGTCAACATGGTGAAACCCTGTCTCTACTAAAAATACAAAAAATTAGCTGGGCATGGTGGCGCGTGCCTGTAATCCCAGCTACTCAGGAGGCTGAGGCAGGAGAATTGCCTGAACCCAGGAGGCGGAGGTTGCAGTGAGCCGAGATTGCACCATTGCACTCCAACCTGGGTAACAAGAGCGAAACTCCGTCTCAAAAAAAAAAAAAAAAAAAAAAAAAATGCCAGCTCTACAAGGGCAGGGATCTTTGTTTTGTTTGCTGCCATGTCCACAGTGCCTGGAACAGCAACTGGAACAGAGTAGATGCTCTATATGGTTGCCACAATGATTACAACCTATCAGACCTTTGATCTGCATATTCTGTCCAAAAATAAAAACAAAATTATAAAACCTAGTAGATGTGATTTGTATCAGGGCTAGATCAGACTCTTCCCTGTTTCCTGCCCACCCAGTGCCCACCCCAACCAGTGGATGGGACATAGCTATGACCTCCCCCTACACTGGGTAAATAGATTGGTAACTGGCAACTATGATGGGAGATCCCTTCCAAACGTCCCCACTTCCCTCAGGATAAAATCCCAGGTCCTCTGTGCAGTCCAAAGCCGCCGTCACTGCCCAGAATTGCACCATTCAGCCACAAAGAATCACGAACTGCTTGTAGTTTGCAAATATAGTCGTCTCCAGGGTGGAGTACATGCGCCCAGAAACAAAGCTTTGGAGTTCAACTGGAAAACATTCGAATATCTAGATTTGGGGAGTTTTATTGCTTGTTTTCAGTTTTTTAAAAATAACTTTTTTTTTTTTTTTTTTTTTTTTTTAAGAAACAAAGTCTTGGCTGGGCGCAGTGGCTCACGCCTGTAATCCCAGCACTTTGGGAGGCTGAGGCGGGTAGATCACAAGGTCAAGAGATCGAGACCATCCTGGTCAACATGGTGAAACCCCGTCTCTACTAAAAATACATAAAATGAGCTGGGCATGGTGGTGCGTGCCTGTAATCCCAGCTACTCAGGAGGCTGAGGCAGGAGAATTGCCTGAACCCAGGAGGTGGAGGTTGCGTTGAGCTGAGCTCGCCGCGCCATTGCATTCCAGTCTGGGTAACAAGAGTGAAACTCCGTCTCAAAAAAAAAAAAAAAAAAAAAAAAAGAAACAAGGTCTTGCTATGTTGCCCAGGCTGTTTTTGGATGCCTGGCCTTAAGTGCTTCTCCCACCTTGACCTCCCAAAGTGCTACATGCCCAGGTTCATCTATCTATTTTTTGAGAGTCTTGCTTTGTCACCCAGGCTAGAGTGCATGCAGTGGCATAAGCTCGGCTCACTGAAACCTCGCCCACCCGATTCAAGCAATTCTCCTACCTCAGCCTCCCAATAAGCTGGACTTATAGGCATGCACCGCCATGCCCAGCTAATTTTTGTGTTTTTAGTAGGGATAGGGTTTCCCCATGTTGGCCAAGCTGGTCTCAAACCTCTGGCCTCAAAGGATCCAACCGCCTCAGATTCCCAAAGTGTTGGGATGTAGGCATGAGCCACCAAGCCCAGCCCTCATGTATAGTTTTAAATCTGCAGTTTTCTGGGTTTTTTGAGATGAAGTTTCGCTCTTGTTGCCAAGGCTGGAGTGCAATGGCACAATTTCAGCTCACTGCAACCTCTGCCTCCTGGGTTCAAGCGATTCTCCTGCCTCAGCCTCCCAAGTAGCTGAGATTACGGTTTTCTTTTCTTTTTCTTTCTTTTTTTTTTTTTTTTTGAGACAGAATTTTGCTCTTGTTGCCCAGGCTGGAGTGCAATGGTGTGATCTCGGCTCACTGCAACCTCTGCCTCCTGGGTTCAAGCGATTCTCCTGTCTCAGCCTTCTGAGTAGCTGGGCTTACAGGTGCATGCACCACCATGCCCAGCTAATTTTTTTGTATTTGTAGTAGAGACGGGGTTTCATCATATTGGTCAGGCTGGTCTCAAATTCCTCACCTCAGGTGATCCACCCACCTCTGCCTCCGGAAGTGCAGGGATTGCAGGTGTGAGCCACCAAGTTGGCTTTTTTTTTTTTTTGAGATAGTCTCGCTCTGTCACGAGGCTGGAGTGCACTGGCGTGATCTCGGCTTACTGAAACCTCTGCTTCTCAGGTTCAAGCAATTCTCCTGCCTCAGCCTCCTGAGTAGCTGGGGTTATAGGCGCACACCTCTACTCCCAGCTAATTTTTGTATTTTTAGTGCAGATGGGATTTCACCATGTTAGCCAGCAGGGTCTCTATCTCTTGACCTCGTGATCCAAGCCTGGACCAGTTTTTTGTTTACTAAAGAACGTATCTTTTGGCCAATGTGGAGGCTCACACCTGTAATGCCAGCAATTTGGGAAGCCAAGGGGGAGGATCACAAGGTCAGGAGTTTGATACCAGCCTGGCCAACATAGTGAAACCCCATCTCTACTAAAAATACAAAAAATTAGCCAGGTGTGGTAGCAGGCACCTGTAATCCCAACTACTTGGGAGGCTGAGGCAGGAGAATCACTTCAACCCGGGAGGTGGAGGTTGCAGTGAGCCCAGATCTCACCATTGCACTCCAACTCAGGTGACACTGTGAGACTCCATCTCAAAATATATATATTTCTATAATAAAGATACTGTTATATAACAATTTACAGAATATATTGATATAATTGTATTTGTATATAACTTATAAATAACATCCATCTTTGAGGCCAGGAGTTTGAGGCCAGCCTGGGCAACATAGTAAGACCCTGTCTCTACCAAAAAAAATTGAAAATTAGCCAGGAATAGTGGCATAAGCCAGTAGTCCCAGCTACTTAGGAGGCTGAGGCAGCAGGGTCATTTGAGCCTAGGAGTTCAAGGTTGCAGTGAGCTATGATCAAGCCACTGCACTCCAGCCTGGGCAACAGAGCAAGACCTTGTCTCAAAAGATAAATAAATAAACATCCATCTGGGGGTGGAGCTTTAACAGTTTTACCTGTGGGGTGTCCAACGGAGAAAAAAATTTGGAGTCGTTGAACACAATGCTATTTTGCCACTCAGAGAGTATCTGGCAGTCTCTGGAGACATATTTGGTAGTCACCACGGGGAGAGTGGGGAGCCATTGACATCTAGTGGGTGGAGCCCAGGGATGCTATTAAATGGCCCCGGATAACAGGACAGTCCCCCACACTAGGCAGCCCAAAATGTCAAGCGTGCTGGGCTTAAAAAACCCTTGCCCGAGCGCCCCAGACTTAGTCTTGCTTTGGGGGCTCCGCAGGCTGCTTCATCTCTCCACTCTAGTCCTCCCTTAGACCTCCAATTCCAGTGACGCTGTACAAAGCATCCCTTCCTCCAATGAAGCAGCCATCTCTGATGTCCCCAGGCTGGGCCAGAGCCCCACCACCCTAGGGCTCCCAGATGCGTCCTATACTAGGTTCGAATTGTCCCGGCCCACCGCGTTCTCAACCATGGCAGATTCCCTGGATCCCGGAGACAGCAGGATTCTACCCGGCTGCTAGAGACCAAGAATCTGCATTTTTCGCAAGCACCGCTCCCCGCACCACACACACTGCCTGCCCCGTCAAGGCCACACAGCAGGTGGCCCAGTGCTACTTGAGCGCCTACTGCAAGCCAGGCGCTATTACGCGATCCACTGGGGAATCTTGGCACAGGCCCCACTCCATGGTGTAGACACCAGGATCCTCCCCATTTCACAGAGGAGTAAACTGAGGCTCAAAGAGGTGACCGTAGCGGGACAGAGACTCAGGGCAGGAAAAGGGCCCAGGTTCTCAGAAGCTCCAGATTCCCGGGGGAGGAGGGAGGACAGAGAGGAGGGTGATGGACTTGGGGAGCGGGTGCTGGGAGGGGGGGCGCGAGGCCTCGCCGCGGCCTTCCGATGCAGCCCCGCCCCCACGAGGGACGTGAAGACGCGGACCCCGCGCAGCGTGGGGACATGTGACCGACTGCAGAGGCCGCGCCGCCTCCCCCGCCCGAGGTCTGCGCGCTCCGCCGCAGGGTGCAGACCCGGGGCGCCCGCCTGGGTTTGGGGCGCAAGAGCAGAGGCGGAGCCAGGGCGGAGCCAGCGCGCCCGGTCCCCCCCGAACCGAAAGCGAAACAGGGGCCGGGAAGGAAGGGCGGAGCCGGCCCCGAGGCACCGCCCCCTGCCCTGCGCGGCTGCTGGACCGACAGGCGCGCCCAGGTAGGGGGGCGGCTGAGCCGCGCAGTGCGGACCCTCGCGGGGACCTGCGCCGCCGCCACCATGTCTCAGGAAGGTGTGGAGGTAGGAGATGGCTACGGCTGGTCCGGGGAGGGGAGCCGCGACAGACCCCGAGGAGAGGCCAGGAGGCGCGGAAGGGGCTTCGCAGTTCCTGGGGACCCCCATCCTAGAACCCCAGATCCTTACCCCTGCCTGGCGCTCGCCCCCCTTGGAAAAGAAAGTGACTCCCACGTTTCCCCAGAGCGAAATGAGGCCTCCCTGAGGAAAAGCGGGGGCTGCAGGGTCAAAGGTCAAAGGCCAGAGATAACCTGGCCGACCCCCCACCTTAGGCTGGGACGCTCGCCCCAGCCCGCGCCCTCCCCCAACGCCCTGTGGGGACTTTGGCTTTTTCCAGGAAATGCCGTAGAGGGATGGAGGGGGGGAGCGGCGGAGGCCAAAACCAAGGGTCAAGTTCAGGCCGGGAGAACGGTGCCTAGAGATGGGGGAGGGAAGATCGCGCGTCCCCTTCCCCCACCGGAGCCCCGGTGTCCCCATCCCAGCTGGAGAAGAGCGTCCGGCGCCTCCGGGAGAAGTTTCATGGGAAGGTATCCTCCAAGAAGGCGGGGGCTCTGATGAGGAAATTCGGCAGCGACCACACAGGAGTGGGGCGCTCCATCGTGTACGGTGAGGCTGAGGGGGTCCCGGGCCTGATGCGGGGACCGCGCGTGGGATCGCCGAGGGGGCGTGGTCTAGGGAGAGGCGTTGAGATCACCTCCCCTGGAGATCCCAGCTTGGGGGAGGCTCTGCGTCGCGGCTCTGGGTGGCCTGGAACTCCCATAGACCCTTAAAAGGCCCTTCCCTTATACGCACTGTCCACCGCAGGGGTAAAGCAAAAAGATGGCCAAGAACTGAGTAACGACCTGGATGCCCAGGTAACCCCTCCCCTCTCAAAGGACTGGGTCACGGGAGGGAGAGCAAGAGGGGACCCGACCCGTTCATGGTGACCCTCCTCTGAAACAGCAGGGACCAGGCATTGTCTGCAACTCATCACCCAATCTTATTCACTTTTTCACCTCTCCGTGGTTTGCACCGGCCAGGGAACCTGCAAACAGTAGGCACTCATTATGTGCTGATTGTATTCAATGAGGGAGAGAGAGCCATGAAACTAGGTAATGAAAGGAGCCAGGATTATTGCCATGGTAGGGGAACCCCAGAGGTCAGAGAAGGCTTCCTGGAGGAGGAGGTACCAAGTCTTAAAGGATGGGGTGGAGTGAGCCCTGGGATGGGAAGCCAGGGGTCTTGCAGTGGGGGAGGGAATGGCATGAGCAAAGACTGGAAGTGGGGAAGGGTTGTTAGTGGCAGTCCCTAAAAAGGCTGGGACGAGCAGGGGATTGGGGAGGGGAGAGAGATGGGGAAATGGAACCCTTGTGTTGAGTAACAGAGTGAATGAATGAATGGCTTTGAAGCACAGGTGCAACGTGGCTGCTTTGCTGCTTTGACAGCTTTGGTGATGGGAACACTGTGGATTTCACCTGCCTGAAAGGCTCAGTGTAGGGCTGTTAAAGAGTATAATAAAATATGTATCATAGTCTGCATTTACACATATAAAAGTATGATAAAAATATAGCAGAGGGGCTGGGTGCGGTGGCTCACGCCTGCAATCCCAGCATTTTGGGAGGTAGAGGCGGGCAGATCACTTGAGGTCAGGAGTTCGAGATTAGCCTGGCCAAGATGGTGAAACCCCGTATCTGCTAAAAACACAAAAAATTAGCCGGGCATGGTGGTGCACGCCTGCAATCCCAGCTACTTGGGAGGCTGAGGCAGGAGAATCACTTGAATCTGGGAGGTGGAGGTTGCAGTGAGCTGAGATCGTGCCATTGCTCTCCAGCCTGGGCGACAAGAGCAAAACTCCGTCTCAAAAATATAATAATTATAACACTAGCAGAGGGTAGCATTGATTGAGTACTTCCCACATGGCGAGACTCCAGGAATTGATTTATTTCATCACCACAGTGACCCAGGAGACAGGTCCTATTATTTATCATCCCTATTTCACAGACAAAGAAACTGAGGCTTGAAGTCACTTGCCAGGTTCACCCGGCAAGCAGGTGGCAGCTAAGATTTGAACCCTGGCCACCTAGAGTCAGAGCCTGAGCTCTGACATGCCTGTCAGTCAGTGGGAACCCAGTGGGCAGGAAGTGGCTTGCCCAAGTCCCCACAGCTGGAAGTGATAGAGTTAGGTTTCAAACCCGAATCTCTCTCAATCCAGATCCCCACCACTTATCCCTGGCACAGCGTGGCCTCAAAGGGGCGATGTGTCACAACACCAACAAGCATGTGGCATTTGCAGGCAGGAAGTGAATATGGGGGTCAGGCTGGCCTCACTCAGGCCAGTCCTCCGCTAAGTGTGAGTTTCCCCAGTGCAGCAATAATGTCACAGGCGTGCCCACTTCTCAGGGCTGCTATGAGGACACCTGGCTCTCAGTAAGTGGGCAGTGCTCTGTGACTTCCTGGCGAGTTAGGGGCACCCCATTCTCCTTGTAACCAGGCCCCTATCCCAGCAAACAGGGGTGGAAAGAGGCCTGAGCCCCATCCCCAGTTTCTGCCCCTGCTATCTCCACCCAGGACCCACCAGAAGACATGAAACAGGACCGGGACATTGAGGTGAGCTGGTGGCTGTAGCTGGGGATTGGGAAGTGGGGAGGAGGACGTCTGCAGGCACAGAAGCATGGCCACTAGGAAAGGAGGGGAGATACTCACTGGGGCAGGAGGAAGACCCCTCTGTAGGGAGAGAAGGGCTGATGTTTATGTTGGTACAGAAGGGGTGACCCCAGGTGGAGGATACAGTGATCTGAGATCACGCCACTGCACTCCAGCCTGGCAACAGCGAAACTCCATCTCAAAAAAAATAAAAGAAGAAGAAAAAGGGGTGACCTCATCCCCACCTGCCCCATTCCACAGGCAGTGGCGACTTCCCTCCTGCCGCTGACAGAAGCCAACCTACGCATGTTTCAACGGGCCCAGGACGACCTTATCCCTGCTGTGGACCGGCAGTTCGCCTGCTCCTCCTGCGACCACGTCTGGTGGCGCCGCGTGCCCCAGAGGAAGGAGGTGATGACCCACAACTTAACCTTGACTTTGACTGTCCTGAAGTCCACTCCCAACTCCCAGCCTCAGTGACTGTACCTCTGACCTAAGGGCTTCAATCACTAAGCGTCCAATCCCTGACCTCCAAACTCAGAGCGCAGCCCTGATCTCTGATCCCAACCCCTGACCCAGGACTGGACTTCTGACCTTCAATGTGAGAAGCCCAGTAACCCCTTACCCCAGAGCCTGACATCTGACCCCACAGTTGAACACCTACTACAGAAATCAATCTTGACCAGGTGCAGTGGCTTGCGGCTGCAATCTCAGCGCTTTAGGAGGCTAAGCAGGGAGGACTGCTTGAGCCCAGGAGTTTGAGACCAGCCTGAGTGATAGAGCGAGACTTTGTCTCCGAAGAAAAATTTGGGGGGGCCAGGTGCCATGGCTCACGCCTGTAATCCCAGCACTTTGGGAGGCCAAGATGGGTAGATCATGAGGTCAGGAGTTCAAGACCCGCCTGGCCAAGATGGTGAAACCCTGTCTCTACTAAAACATACAAAACGTAACCGAGCATGGCAGCAGGCACCTGTAATCCCAGCTACTCAGAAGGCTGAGGCAGGAGAAGAGCTTAAACCTGGGAGGTGAAGGCTGCAGTGAGCTGAGATTGCACCACTACACTCCAGCATGGGTGATAGGGCGAGAAAAGAAAAAAAAATTTTCAGAGATGGAGTCTCGCTCTGTCACCCAGGCTGGAGTACAGTCGTGTGATCATAGCTCACTGCAGCCTCCACCTCCTGGGTTCAAGTGATCCTCCCACCTCAGCTTCCCAAGTAGCTGGGACTACAGGCCTGCACCATCATACTTGGCTAATTTTTATATTTGTATGTGTGTGTGTGTGGAGATCAGGTTTTGCCATGTTGCCCAAGTGGTCTCAAACTCCTGGGCTCAAGCAATCTATTGCCTCTGTCTCCCAAAGCGCTAGGATTACAGGCATGAGCCACTGCACCTGGCAAAAAAAATTTTTTTTTAATTAGCTGGGAGCGGTGGCATGTGCCTGTGGTCCCAACTCCTCAGGAGGCTGAGGTGAGAAGCTTGTTTGAGCCTAGGGAGATTGAGACTGCTGTAAGCCATGATCACAACACTGCGTTCCAGCCTGGGTGTCAGAGCAAGACTCTGTCTCTTAAAAAAAAGAAAGAAACCGAATTTGACCTCAAAAACACAGCCCCAAATCTGGCCTCTGAACCTCCTGACCAGTAGTTTGCTTCCATTCAACACTTAAGTCTTGCAAAAGAGGCAGGAAGCCGAGATGTGTAGTGTTTGCCAATTATCGTGGTGTAAATATTCCCACCATGGTCAATATCAGGCTGTGGATGTACAGTTACTGACTGAGTTGGCTTGCTCAAGCTGAGGCCAGCCGCTGCAGCATACTGTTACCCCTGACCCTCTAACAACCCTTGGTCCCCTCTTCACACCCCCCTCCCCACCACCACCAGGTATCCCGGTGCCGGAAATGCCGGAAGCGCTACGAGCCAGTGCCAGCCGACAAGATGTGGGGCCTGGCCGAGTTCCACTGCCCGAAGTGTCGGCACAACTTCCGGTGAGGGCGCTGACCCCCAGCTCCCCTTCAGCCCTGCCCTACCCCAGCCCTGCCCCTCCCTGCCCCGGCCCCACCCTGGCCCAGCCTCGCCCTCGGACCCTCACAGCCCTGCCCGCCCCCAGGGGCTGGGCACAGATGGGGTCCCCGTCTCCCTGCTACGGGTGTGGCTTCCCCGTGTATCCAACACGGATCCTCCCCCCGCGCTGGGACCGGGACACGGATCGCCGCAGCACCCACACTCACTCCTGCTCAGCTGCTGACTGCTACAACCGGCGAGGTGAGGCTCTTCTCCCCTAACAGCCTGGGCAGTCTTCATCCCCTTCTGTCCCTTTAAGTCCCCAAGTCTCCATTCAGTCCGCTTCATCTCCCACGGCAGCAGCCACTGCTTCCAGGTGGCCTCTGTGGCCCCCCAGTCTCCGTGGTCTTGCCCACAAGGCTCTGAGGTTTCACCCCAGTGGCCCATGCCTGAGGGACCCCATGGCCTCTGCCCCTATGGTCTCTGGGTTTGGGGCCCCTGTTTTTTTTCCTCTGTAGTCTCAGGTGACTCCCCATGTCCCTGGGTCTCCTGTATCTTCAACACCTCTGAATGTCCAGTCACTCTGATCCCGCATCTTGTGGCCTCAGCTCCTCCCTACAGCCCCGAATGGCCTCAGCCCCGTCCTCCTCATACTCTCCCAGGACCTCAGGCCCCATGCCAGCAACAGCTTTCCCTCCCCAGAGCCCCACGTGCCTGGGACATCCTGTGCTCACCCCAAGAGCCGGAAGCAGAACCACCTGCCCAAAGTGCTCCACCCCAGCAACCCTCACATCAGCAGTGGCTCCACTGTGGCCACCTGCTTGAGCCAGGGGGGCCTCCTGGAAGACCTGGACAACCTTATCCTGGAGGACCTGAATGAGGAGGAGGAGGAGGAGGAGGAAGAGGAGGTGCAGGAAGAGGAGGGCGGGCCCAGGGAGTGACCCCTGCCAGGTGCAGACACAAACCAGACACGGTCTGTGGCTACTTTGTGTTATTGTAAGATCTGAGCTCAAACCGAGATATGAATGACCTTGGGGAGCCATCTGGGGCCGAGATATTGGCAGGGGGGGATGCCTGGGTCCCATTTGCGGCGCCCAGGGTCACAGATCCATGGAGGGGAAGTTCCATGGGACCCACTGGCACTGAGCCACAAAGAAAGTGTGGCCAGGACAACTTGGGCTCTTGCTGACCAATGTCCCCTGGGGCCTAGGGGACGGAGGAGCGGAGTCACAGCCTCAGGGGCCGGATGAGCATGGCGGCCTTCCTGAGAGAGTATGCCCCGCCGTGAAACTCGGCCCAGTAGACGCCATCCTGGTAGCGGCTTCGGTAGTGGCCGCCACGGTGCCACACACCATTGAGGTTGGAGTGGGCGCAGGCATGGTACCACCAGCCTCCCCGCTGGTACAGGGCACAGTTACCTGAGGGGAGAAAGAGTCCATGTCCCCTTATCAGAATAAAAGCCTCTATCTGCACCTCACAGTATAAGGCTTTTGCCAGACATCCCCTGGCCCCTCCTATTCTTATTCAATACAAGCCCTGATCTTCCATCTCCTCAGCAAAATAGGAGCCCTGGCCCCCCAATTTTCTTCAGAGTAATAGCCTTAATTCCTTCCCTATCTCCTTACCAAAGTACAAGTAACTTCTTTTCCCACCTTTTCTGCAAACTAGGAGTCTACTGCTTATTCCTTTATCAAATAAAAGAAAGTAATTATCTACTTCCTTTCTAGAATAAGAGTACTAGCTCTCACCCTCTGCCCTTCACCCTAACAGGAGTCTTTATTATTATTATTATTATTATTATTATTATTATTATTTTATTATTATTTTTTTGTCTCATCAGAGAAGGAATCTGGGCTTCCTGTCCCCTCACCAGAGTAAAAGTACTGTCCCTTGTTCTCTTGACAGAATAAAAGCTTGCTTACCCCAATACTTAACAGAGGGGCGTCTTACCTACCCCATCTCCTTGTCTTCCCACACCAAAACAGGAGTCCCATATCCCCTATCCTCCCACCAGGATAAGAGTTCTCCTTACCGGAATAGGAGTCTCGGTCCCTATCCACGGTGCTGAAGGGCTTGTCATTATGCCAAGAAAGAGAATCTCCAGCATCACCACGGTATTGGCCAAGCCGCAGGCGGTAGTGGTCACTCTCGGGTTCCAGGGAGAAGCCATCGTAGTGGGCACGTGCTCTACGGCCCCCCCAGTCCTCCAGGAGCACCAGCAGCTCATGGTCTTCACGGCTGGTCAGCTGATACACAGGTTCAAGGCCCAGCCAGTATTCTCCGTCTGGCTGCCCAAAGCCCACCTGGAAGGGCAGGGAAGTCAGGAGGCCAGAACAGGCTCCCTCCCCTGCCCTGCCTCTGCCCGTCTGTGCCCACCTTGTAGTGCTGCCAGGTAGTGAAGAAGTTGACCGAACCATCCTGCCTCCGCTGGATCACAGTCCAGCCTCCACCCTCCAGCTGCTGCTCACACCATACTGACACCACGTGCCGGCCCACTCGCAGTTCATACACTCCGCTGTGTTCATGCCCTGCCTGTCGGGCCTCTGCACAATCCTGCCATGGGCCTGTAGGCACAGCGATATGGGGAGGCACAGCCTGGGCTGACCAATCCCTTCCCGGAGCAAGAGTTGAGATTCTCACAGGTCCTCTTACCAGAATAAGAGTCTTGCCTCTCCCACTTTTCTACCAAAGAGTCCTGCCTCTCCCATGTCCTCACCACAATAAGAGGCCTGCCTCTCCCATTTCCTCACCAGAATCCAAGCCTCAATAGCCATTTCCTTACCTAAGACTCTGGGTCCCTTGTCTCTGACCAGAGGAAATGTCAAGTCTGGGATTCTTAAACCCTGGTTTTTTAATGGTCTCCTCACCAGAATATAAGTCCTGAACATAGTACTCTGAACCACCTCAAACTCTTAACAAAGTAGCCGTGCTAAATCTACCATTGCCTCACTAAAATAAGAATCCCTCTTCCTTTTCTTGTTTCTCCTATTTTCACACCTTAGTAACAAGTTTGGTCTTTTTAAAAATCAGAATAAGGGTATTATTTATTCCAGTCCTCTCACAATGAGAGAAATCTGCCACTAAAATCCCAACTCCTCAATTTCCCTCTACGCACAGTACCTCAGCCCTGCTGTCGACTTACCCGCAGGCTTGGTAGGAACAGCAGGGTGAACTGCAGGCATGAGAGAAGCCAGGGGCTCCTGCTGTCTCAGGATTTGGTCTCTCCGGGGCTCTGGGGCTGAGTCCAGCCTCCTACTGCTGTCATTGGTGCTACCCACAAGACTGACTGGAACCACAGGCACCAGTGGTGGTGGGGGCAGGACCTAAGGTAACAGAGAAAGTCAGGTGTAATTGCACTAACCGTCAGGCCAGGAGGCCTGGTCTCAGGGGCAGGGATGGTGGATAAATCTCCCAGTTTCCAAATGACCTGACATCTGGCAATGTGGTGTCCCAGCCCTAGGAATGATCCTCCCCAAAGGCTAAACTTGGCTTTAAAGTGCAGACAGGCTGGCCGAAGTGACTCACGCCTGTAATCCCAGCATTTTGGGAGCCTGAGGCGGGCAGATCACCTGAGGTCAGGAGTTTGAGACCAGCCTGACCAACATGGTGAAACCCTGTCTCTACCAAAAATACACAAAATTTAGCTGGATGTGGTGGCTATAGCTTGTAATCCCAGCTACTTGGAAGGCTGAGGTAGGAGAATTGCTTGAACCTGAGAGGTGGAGGTTGCAGTGAGCTGAGATCGTGCCACTGCACTCCAGCCTGTGAATCAGAGCGAGACTCCGTCTCAAAAATAAAATAAAATAATACAGTGCAGACAGATCTAGGCTTGAATATCCGCTCTTTGTCCTCACGGCTTAACTGATCTGTGCCCCAGCCTCCTTCTCTGTAGAGATAGTAAGAACACATCCAACAATATCCAACTTACTGACTCCTCCCACCCACCCTGTAAGGCAGGGACTGTCACAGAGCAACAATCTCTTATCCCAAACCCAGACCCAGACACGTTCCAGAATTCAGAACAACACGGCTGGATTTAGATTCAGGGAGGGTTATGTACATGCATGTGTGTATAGAACATACATAACACCCCAAAGGGGTTTTTGCTCTTTACGTGATAATATGCTTACTTATAGGATCCTATGACTATTCACATTAAGTGGATAAGTAAAGGCTATAAATAGCCACCAGTCACTTTTTGACCCAAATACGTTACGAGAGGGGGCGAGTAGGAATTCGATTTTCAGGGTTTTGCAGATTTCAGAACCGCGGATAAGAGATCGTGGGGTTGCAAAAGGCCGATTTCACGGACGATGCTGCTATTCCGGGAGGCTGCGAGGTTACCTGCTGCTGCCCGCCCGCGCCCCCCGGGCACAGGCGCTCCAGGCGGGAGATGAGGTCGCTCTGCTGGGTGACCAGCCGCGCCAGCTCGCGGAACTTGACGTCCAGCTGGTGGAAGCGGGCGGCGGCGCGCTGAGCCTCGGCGGACGCGTTGAGCACGCGCTCCCCGAGCAGCGCCAGCGCCGCGGCAGGCTCCGCCCCCGGCCCCGCCCCCGGCCCCGCCTCGGGCCCCGCCTCGTGCTGCAGCTGCGCGCGCAGCTGCCCCAGGCGCGCGCTCAGGCCGCGGCTCTCCTTGCGCAGCGCGCGCACCTCGCCGGCCACGGCGCCGTCAGCCGCCGCCAGCCTCTGCAGCTCGTGCAGCAGCTCCTCGTGGCGGCCGACGCGCAAGCGCAACGCCGCCAGCTCGCTGGCGTTGGCGGCCTCGGGCGTCGCCCGCGCGGACACCGGGCCGCTCCAGCACACGGCGCCCGTGAACTTCTGCGGGGGCAGCACGAAGGTGTAGGTGCAGCGCGGGGCGCCCGCCCGCGCCCATGATGCGCCCAGCAGGAGCAGCAGCTGCAGCGCGCGCAGCCAGGGCGTCCCCATGGCGGCAGACCTGCAGGCAGAGGAGGAACGCGAGGAAGACCAGGTGCTGGGGCCCGGCCAGACCCTTCCGCTTCCACGCGGGGATGCGTGCGTCTACACCCGCGGTGTCCCTGGCCCATAATTCCCGCCACCATCTCATTTCCCTCGCGGCTGAGAGCTCCAAGGTGATCCCACTCTGGCTTCAACACTGAGCTCCTGGCGCCCCGCAGGATAACGGGTCTCATGCATGCATTTCATTCATTCGACAAGCGAGGCCGGGCGCAGTGGCTCAGGCCTGTAATCCCAGCAGTTGGGGAGGCCGAGGCGGGCGGATCTCGAGATCAAGAGATTGAGAGCTTACTGGTCAAGCATAGGTGAAACCCCGTCTCTACTAAAATACAAAAATTAGCTGGGCATGGTGGCACGTGCCTGTAGTCCCAGCTACTCTGGAGGCTGAGGCAGGAGAATCGCTTGAACCCGGGAGGCGGAGGTTTCAGTGAGCCAAGTTCGCACCACTGCACTCCAACCTGGGCAACAAGAGCGAAACTCCATTAAAAAAAAAAAAAAAAAAAAAGCAAAGGGAGCGGGGTGCAAGGAGGTGAGGAGGAGTGAGGGAAATGTCTCGCTGTCTTCCTATCCGTCGCGTATTGGAAACTCCATCTTCCACGTCCTCAGACCAAAACCCCAGCAGATCCAATCCATCAGCCAGGCCTGTCTGCTCTTCTGTTTAGACCCCGAATTCCTCCACGTCCCTGCTGCTCCCCCCTCGCCCCACACCCTCCCTGAATTCCCAGCTCAAGACACCATCTGGATTTCCTGACAGCAGCTGCCTCCCTGCTCTCTGAACTTCCATCCTCAACCCCAGGTCTACTACCCACGACAGCCGCCAGAGGGCGCCGGTGGACACCCGAGTCAGTTCACGTCCCTCCCTCCTCCCTCCTCTGCCCAGAAGCCTCCTTGGCTCCCACCTCCTTTAGAGCAAAAGCCCAAATCTTCCCATGGCCCATAAAAACTTGCGCTATCTGCCATATTCCCTCCTGCCCTTACTTCCTCCCACGCCCGTCCTCACACTAAGCAAGTTTCAGCCTCAGGGCCTTAGTTCCTGCTGTCTTGGCAGTCTGGAACACTGTTCACTTTTTTTTTTTTTTTTTTTTTTTGAGATGGAGTCTCACTCCGTCGCCCAGACTGGAGTGCAGGGGTGCGATCTCGGCTCACCACAACCTCTGCCTCCCGGGTGCAAGCAATTCTCCTGCTTTAGCCTCCCAGGTAGCTGCGATTACTGGCGTGTATTACTATGCCCGGCTAATTTTGTATTTTTAGTAGAGATGGGATTTCTCCACTGCCCTGTGGTTTTTTAATCCCAGTGCTGGAATTTTTTTGAGACGGAGTCTCCCTCTGTTGCCAGGCTGGAGTGGTGTGATCTTGGCTCACTGCAACGCCCCCGTGTCGGGTTCAAGCTATTCTCTTGCCTCAGCCTCCCGAGTAGCTGGGATTACAGGCACGCACCACCACACGCAGCTAATCTTTTGTATTTTCAGCAGAGATGGGGTTTCACCATGTTTGTCAGGCTGATCTCATGGTGGTTCACGCCTGTAATCCCAGGACTTTGGGAGGCTAAGGCGGACTGATCATCTGAGGTCAGGAGATTGAGACCTGGCCAACATGATGAAACCCCATCTCTACTAAAAATACAAAAAAATAGCTGGGCGTGGTGGTACATGCCTGTAAACTAGCTACTTGGGAGGCTGAGGCAGGAGAATGACTTGAACCTGGGAGGTAGAGGTTGCAGGTGAGCTGAGACTGCGTCACTGCCCTCTAACCTGGACAACCCAGACCCAGTGAGGCTCCATCTCAAAAAAAAAAAAGAGAGACTTGCTTGCTCTGTTGCCCAGGCTAGAGTGCAGTGGAACAATCATAGCTCACTGCAGCCTCCAACTCCTGTGCTCAAGTAGTCCTCCTGCCTCAGCCTCCTGTGTAGCTGGGACTACAGGTGTACCACTATGCCCAGGTACTTTTTTGTAGAGATGGGGTCTCACTATGTTGCCTGGGCTGGTCTCCAACTCCTAGGCTCAGGTGATCCACCTTGGCCTCTCAAAGTGCTGAAATTACAGATGTGAGCAGCCACAACCAGCCCTAAACATTATACTTCCTGATGGCTGTGCAAGCACGTATCCTGAGGGTCTCCATCTCACACATACATTGCCCCATTTATTCATTCAACCACGCATGCCTGAAGTGCCCATTTTATGCCAGGTGCTGTTTCAGGCAATGAGGACACAGCCTTAACCCAAACAGACAAAATGTCTGCCCTTGTGGAACTGGTCAGAGGGTGATGGTGCTTAGGAGAAAAATGGAACAGGAAAGGAGGTGACAGTCCTTGGGTTTGGAGGACATTTAATAGAGGAGGCAGGGCCAGGTGCGGTGGCTCACACCTGTAATCCCAGCACTTTGGGAGGCCAAGGCAGGAGGATCACTTGAGGTCAGGAGTTTGAGACCAGCTTGGCCAACGTGGCGAAACCCTGTTTCTACTGAAAATACAAAAATTAGCAGGTGTGGCAGCAGGCACCTATAGTCCCAGCTACTCAGGAGGTTGAGGCACAAGAATCACATGAACCCAGAAGGCAGAGGTTGCAGTGAGTCATGATCGCACCACTGCACTCCAGCCTGGGCAACAGAGAAAGACTCTGTCTCAAAAAATAAAAAAAATTAAAATAGAGGAGTCAGGAAAGGCCTCACAGAAGAAGAGACACTTGACCGGGCACAGTGGCTCACACCTGTAATTCCAGCACTTTGGAAGGCCAAGGCAGGAGGATTGCTTGAGCCCAGGAGTTTGAGACCAGCCTGACCAACATAGCGAAACCCTGTCTCTACGAAAAATTAAAATAAAGAATAAGTGACATTTTCACAAAGACCTGAAGGAAGAGAAAGAAGAGGATGAACATTCCAGGCAGAGGGAACAGCAGGTGCAAAGGCCCTGAGGTCGGACCCAAGAAATGGCAGAAAGGGGCCAGGCATGGTGGCTCACACCTGTAATCCCAGCACCATGGGAGGCCAAGGCAGGAGGATCATCTGAGGTCAGGAGTTCAAGACCAGCCTGGCCAACTTGGTGAAACCCTGTCTCTACTAAAAATACAAAAATTAGCTGGGTTCGGTGGCAGATGCCTGTAATCCCAGATACTACTCAGGAGGCTGAGGTGGGAGAATCGCTTGAACTCAGGAGGCCGAGGTTGCACTAAGCCGAGATCGCACCGCTGCACTCCAGCCTGGGTGACACAGACAGACTGAAAAAAAGCAATGACAGAAATGTCTGTGAAGCTGGAACAGGGTAAGTGAGGAGGGAAAGCAGGAGTGGGTGAGAGGTGACAGGACAACATGTGAAGAGTCTTGTGGACCCGGAGGAGGACTTGCGTTTTACTCGGAGTCTGGTGGGAGCAGGGTTTTGGGCTGGAGACGGCCACATTGACTTCTGGACTTGGACTCCAAGCAGGGGGCTCCCAAGGGCGGCGGGAGGTCCTCTCTTTGCCCTCTGATCACTGAAACTCCCCCCCACCCTCCACCCCCAGCTGCCTTTCACACTGCATTTCACACTCTGCCTGGGGTGGCTGTGGTTGGGGTTTTCCGACAGTGAGAATCAACCTCCACCTACCTTCCCACCCTCTTACCTCTCACGCCCAAGACCCTGAATCCAGCGAAGCTCGCAGGGCGCACAAGAGGTCCAAGGAAGAGTCGAGGGTCCAGTGGAGCCTCTGAGCTAGAGAAGGGTGTAGGGGGGATGTTGGGACAGGAGAGAGGAGGTTTGGTAACCACTCCCCAGCCCCCAGAGCCTGGGAGTGGAGCTGGGATGCTGGGCCCAGGAGGCCAAACTATAAATATTTAGCATTTCCCGAATGAGAAATGAGACAGAGTTGCCAGATCCCCCTGCCCAGGCCACCAGAGCGTGATAACACAGGTCAGTGTCCTGGACATCCCTCCCCTTCCCCGCCACCCTCCACTGCAGAGCCCAGAGCATGGGAGGCTGCAGGCCCCGGGGCAGCCTGGCAGGAACCCAGCTCCAGACACACCACACATAGAATGAGGACCGTCACTGGGGACTCACTGTGTGTAAGGTACAGCTCTAAACTCTCCGCACCTTTTATGTCATTTGATCCTTAAAACCTGAGCTGGCTTCTCTGTATATAGCCTCATTTTACAGCAGGGAAACAGGCTCAGAGAGGGTGAGTGACTTGCCTGCGGTCACACAGCCGGAAAGAGACCAGGATGAAAAGCAGCCAAGGTAGCTTGACTCAGAAACTCACACATGTATACCACAGCAGTCATACACATATGGGCACATAACAGCAGACACAAAGACACATGAATTAACACCCAACAAAAGTCCGGGTACAGTAGCTCACGCCTGTAATCCCAGCACTTTGGGAGGCCAAGGCAGGTGGATCGCTTGAGGTCAGGAGTTCAAAACCATCCTGGCCAACATGGTGAAAGTCCATCTCTACTAAAAATACAAAAATTAGCCAGGCACAGTGGCGTGGGCCAGTAATACCAGCTACTCGGAAGGGTGAGGCAGGAGAATCGCTTGAAGCTAGGAGGCAGAGGATGCAGTGAGCCGAGATCAAGCTACCACACTTCAGCCTGGGGGACAAGAGTGAAACTCTTAAGATAAATAAATACATTAATTAATTAAAATAAAAAAGTAAAAAAGACACAATTGGACATTTTTATTTTTACTTTATTCATTTTTTGAGACAAAGTTTCACTCTTTTTGCCCAGGCTAGAGTGCAATAGCAGGATCTCAGCTCACCGCAACCTCTGCCTCCTGGGTTCAAGCAATTCTCTTGCTTCGGCCTCCCAAGTAGCTGGGGTTATAGGCGTACACCACCACACCCAGCTATTTTTGTATTTTAGTAGAAACAGGATTTCTCGGCCGGGCGCGGTGGCTCAAGCCTGTAATCCCAGCACTTTGGGAGGCTGAGGCAGGTGGATCACGAGATCAAGAGATCGAAACCATCCTGGTCAACATGGTGAAACCCCGTCTCTACTAAAAATACAAAAAATCAGCTGGGCATGGCGGTGCGTGCCTGTAATCCCAGCTACTCAGGAGGCTGAGGCAGGAGAATTGCCTGAACCCAGGAGGTGGAGGTTGTGGTGAGCCGAGATCACGCCATTGCACTCCAGCCTGGGTAACAAGAGCAAAACTCCGTCTCAAAAAAAAAAGAAACAGGATTTCTCCATATTGGTCGGGCTGATCGTGAACTCCTGACCTCAGGTGATCCACCCACTGGAAAATTTTAAATTGTGGTCGAAGAAATGTATTCTTTTTCTTTTTTGAGACAAAGTCTCACTTGGTCACCAGGCACCAGGCTGTAGTGCAGTGGTGCAGTCTCAGCTCACTGCAACCTCCGCCTCCCAGATTCAAGCAATTCTGCCTCAGCCTCCTAAGTAGCTGGGATTACAGGCACACGCCACCATGCCCAGCTAATTTTTGTATTTTTAGTAGAGATGGGGTTTCACCATGTTGGCCAGGATGGTCTCGATCTCTTGACCTCGTGATTTGTCCACCTTGGCATCCCAAAGTGCTGGGATTACAGGCGTGAGCCACAGCACCCAGCCCACAGTGTATTCTTTTTTCTTTTCTTTTTTTTTTTCTTTTTTTTTTTTTTTGAGATAGAGTCTCACCCTGTTGCCCAGGCTGGAGTGAAATGGCTGGATCTGGGCTCACTGCAACCTCCGCCTCCCAGGTTCAAGCGATTCTCCCGCCTCAGCCTCCCAAGTGGCTGGGACTACAGACGCCCACCACCACACCTGGCTAATTTTTGTATTTTATTTTTCCAGTATGGACGAGGTTTCACTACGTTGACCAGGCTGGTCTCGAACTCCTGACCTTGTGATCTGCCCACCTCAGCCTCCCAAAGTGTTGGGATTACAGGCATGAGCCACCGCCCAGCCCTCTTTTCTTTTTTTTTTTTTTTGAGATTGAGTCTTGCTCTCTCTCCCAGGCTAGAGTCAGTGGCATGATCTTGGCTCACTGCAACCTCCACCTTCTGGGTTCAAGTGATTCTCCTGCCTCAGTCTCCGGAGTAGCTGGGACTACAGGTACATGTCACCACGCTGGCTAATTTTTATGTTTTTAGTAGTGATGAGGTTTCACCATGTTGGCCAGACTGGTATCAAACTCCTGACCTTATGATCCGCCCACCTGAGCCTCCCAAAGTGCTGGGATTACAGGCGTGAGCCACTGCACCCAGCCGGAGGAAATAATAAGTGAGAAAAACTTTCAGGAATCAGAACTTTAACATGTTAAAGTTAGTGTTAAACATCATCATATTGGAGCTGAACCTATCCTAATATGTAACCATAACGCTTGACTTTTGCATTGGAATTATGCTATCATAAATAAAGGATGTCCCACTGATAATAAAAGACACAGCTGGAAACATAACAGTTTCAGGCAACAACTGTATGTTCCAAATACCGTCACATATACATCATAACTTAAAGGGAAATGAGGGTGGGCTGAGTGGGTCTTTTTCTTTCTTTCTTTCCCTTTTTTTTTTTTTTTTTTTTGAAAGGGAGTTTTGCTCTTTTCATCCAGGCTGGAGTGCAATGGCACGATCCCAGCTCACTGCAACCTCCACCTCCCGGGTTCAAGTGACTGTCCTGCCCCAGCCTCCACAGTAGATGAGATTACAGACACCTGCCACCACACCCTGCTAATTTTTGTACTTTTAGTAGAAACGGAGTTTCTCCATGTTGGCCAGGCTGGTCTCGAACTCCAGACCTCAGGTAATCCACCCGCCTCAGTCTCCCACAGTGCTGGGATTATGGGCGTGAGCCACCAAGCCTGGCCCTAAATGGGTCTTTATCTATGTGTCAGACTTGTCCACATCCTGCTTCTTGTGATCACATTGTGATGCACAGATACATAACAGGTACACACAGGTGACACCCAGGCACCCATCCACCACACCACGGAGGTCACCATCGGTCTCCCACACACTCGGTCATATTTTCACACAAGTCAAATCACACGGGGAGGGAACTTGGAGAAGTAACCATGCAGTCATTTCCCAGGGGTACAAAGAAACTCACGTAGAGCCCCGCACAGTCCAGGCCCAGGGTCCGAGACCTGTCTGAAGGCCCCACCGACAACCAGCCACACGCTGGAAGAGCCGCCTTCTTCCCCTGGTCCGCACCGTCCTGAGCTCCCAAGTAACTCGAGTGGACTCCAGGGTTGAAAGAGGAAATGGTCGTCCCAGATCTGAGAGAAGCTGCCAGGCTGGGCTCTGGGCCTGAGCTGGGGCCCCCATGCTGGGCCCCTCGCCCCACTCTCAGCCCCCTCTGGCTTTCCCATTGGCTGTAGAGAGGGAGTAAACGTCCTAAGTTACAGAGAAGGGCTGAAGAAGACAGATGGAGATGGGAGAGACAGGGAGATGGCAGAGATATGGAGAGATGGGGAGATGGGGAGAGACACAGGGAAGCAGAGAAGAAAGAAATGGGAATGGGGCCAGACACAGAAAGGAAACTTCTTTGGTTATAAATGACGAAAGAGACAACTGATGACAGAGACAAAGTTGCAAGATGGAGACAGAGACAAGGAGAAGATGAGAGGGAAGAGAGACACATGGGGGAGAGGAGGAAGAATCGGGGTGCCGGAGAGACCGGGAGGGAGAGGAGGCCGATGGGGGAGGGGAGAGCAATGTTCAGCCCAGGGAGAGGGTGCCCCTTCCCCCAACTGCAAGGTTTTGAGGACGAAGCCAGAGGCCTGAGGCCAAGACTGAAGCTTTGAGCGGAAAGAAGGAGGGGGCCAGTTATTCACGAAGCGCCCGCCTTGCCCTGAGTTTCCAGAAGGTGATGTGGAGTTTCCATCCTTCAGCGGGTCTGCAGACAGGAGTACCCGGGGAGGACAGCTGGCCCAGAGGAGCTGTGGGATCAAAATGAATGATTGCCACAGTCCTTATTCCCTCTGCTGGCTTCTCCCCAAGTACCTGGCGCCAGAGCGCCCCACATTCTGCATGCATGATCGCTCCTCATTCGTGGGCCCGGAGGACATTATCATCCTCACTTTGGGATATTTTAGATGCCTCGGAATGCAGAAAGTGGTTTTAGCCCAGCTTGAGGAAATGGGTCGAAGCAGGATTCGAACTGGCAGATCAGTTTCTCTGCCGCCGGGAGCCGCGTAGCCCCGCCCTGTCTGCCCTAGAAACAGGCCTCCCTTGTCTCCATAGCAGCCGCTCCACCTGATTGCCCCTCCCCGCTCTCGGAGGCCACCTAGTGCGCAGGCCCGCCTGATGACGTCACCACGCCGTGCCGATTTCCGTGAGGCCTCTCAGGCGCCGGAAGTGAGCTGCGCGGTGCGGGAATCGGCAGAGGAAACCTCGCGGAGGACACAGCAGCATGGGGCGGTCAGGACGGGTAAGGCGCGGTGGCTGGAGAGGCAGCGGGTACGGGCGGGGGCTCGGTCCGGGTCGCGGCGCTCACTGTTTGTTTTTCGCCGCCGTAGTCCCGGCACCAGAAGCGTGCGCGCGCCCAGGCGCAGCTCCACAACCTCGAGGCCTATGCCGCCAACCCGCACTCGTTCGTGTTCACGCGGGGCTGCGCGGGTCGGAACATCCGGCAGCTCACTCTGGACGTGCGGCGGGTCATGGAGCCGCTCACTGCCAGCCGCCTGCAGGTCTGTACCTCACCGCTAGCCCGTCTCCACCCACCCTGAGCTTCGTCTTCGCGGCCGCAGTAATGCCTCCCTAAGCTGGAGAAAGGGATTCTCATGGGGAATATCATCTCTGCCTCAGGGCTTTTCTGGGCTGGAGCGAGGGCGCACAGCTTGCGGGATAATTAGTAGCCTAAGCGCGGCGGTTAAGACTGGAATCTCTCCATCATCAAATAGAAGTGATACCAAAAAATAAAAAAGACTGGAATCTGGAGCCTGGCGTGGTGGCTCAGCCTGTAATGCCAGGGTTTTGGGAGGCTGAGGCGGGAAGATCATTTGAGCCCAGGAGTTCGAGACCACCCTCGGCAATATGGCGTCTTTACAAAAAAAAAAAAATAGAAAAGTTAGTCTGATATGGTGGTGCATGCCTGTAGTCCCAGCCACTCAGGAGGCTGAGGTTGGAGGATTCCTTGAGCCCAGGAAATTAAGGCTGCAGTGAATCAGGATCATGCCACTTCACTCCAGCCTGGGCGACAGGGGCAGGCCATGACCGGGAGGTGGGGGGTGGGGGAGCTAGAATCTGGAGACAGCAAAGCAGGGTTGGAAACTGACTTTTCCCTAGTACCTGAAGCTAGTTACTTAACCTTGCTGGGCCTCGGTTCGCTCATCTGTCAAATGGGAAGACGCACTGTGAGCAAGAGACAGAGTTAAGGGCTGGGCATGGTGGCTCACGCCTGTAATCCAAGCACTTTGGAGGCCAAAGCGGGTGGATCATCTGAGGTTGGGAGTTCAAGACCAGCCTGACCAACATGGTGAAACCCCGTTTTAAATAAATAAATAAATAAATAAAAGGAAAAAAAAAGAGAGTTAGAACTGAAATCCATGTCCAGTTGACTTTGAAGTAAAGGCTAAGATCCTTTTGCTCCTCTGGGCTTCTTGGAAGGGTCAGGTGCAAGACAGACCATAATGGGATCTGCAGTATCAGTTGATAGTCATTGCAATAAGGGATAGCTGTGTGGGCTTGTTGGAAGGGTCAGGTGCAAGACAGACCATAATGGGATCTGCAGTATCAGTTGATAGTCATTGCAATAAGGGATAGCTGTGTGGGCTTGTTGAAAGGGTCAGGTGCCTAACATAATTTGCAGCATCAGCTTATAGTCACTGCAATAAGGGATAGCTATGTTTTTTCTTTTTTTTTCTTTTTCTTTTTTTGGAGATGGAGGTTCACTCTTGTTGCCCAGGCTGGAATGCAATGGCAACATCTCGATTCACTGCACCCTCCACCTCAGTTCAAGCGATTCTCCTGCCTAAGCCTCCCGAGTAGCTGGGATTACAGGCACGCACCACTATGTCCAGCTAAGCTGTTTTTTTCTCTTTTCGTTTCTAGGTTCGTAAGAAGAACTCACTGAAGGACTGCGTGGCAGTGGCTGGGCCCCTCGGGGTCACACACTTTCTGATCCTGAGCAAAACAGAGACCAGTGTCTACTTTGTGAGTAGACACCCTCACCCCTCCATCTCCCCCAAACCCCTACTTTCCCCGTCTCTCATGATGAACACATATGCCTCTGAGCCGCTGTGATTTCTGGCTTCAAAGTAAACGCTCTGAAGAAGAGATGGGGCAAAGGTGCCTACTCCCAGGCTCCTCTGCTAGACCTTTCCAGCCTCACTGATCTTCTCTTCCCTTGCAGAAGCTGATGCGCCTCCCAGGAGGCCCCACCTTGACCTTCCAGGTCAAGAAGGTGAGTGGGGGAGGTGGTACAAAGTCATGTGGGCGGGAGCTGGACTTGGGGGTGGCCTCAGCCACGTGTGGTTGATGGTCACCCCCTCCTCACTCCTGCCCTGCAGTACTCACTGGTGCGTGACGTGGTCTCCTCGCTGCGCCGGCACCGCATGCACGAGCAGCAGTTTGCCCACCCACCCCTCCTGGTGCTCAACAGCTTTGGCTCCCATGGCATGCATGTGAAGCTCATGGCCACCATGTTCCAGAACCTGTTCCCTTCCATCAATGTGCACAAGGTGGGCCCGGCCTAGTGAGGTGGCAGGTACGGGTGGGTGCAGCAGGTAGAGGTGCCACAGGCCCTCAGGTGGATTGCTCACTATGCCTAGTGCTGAGGCTGACAGCTCCTGGGTTGGCTGAATCCTGAGGTTAAATCCCACTCATTTGTCCGGTGATGCTGGGCAAAAGTGTCCAGAGATGCCCCCAGCACTCCCCACCCTGCAAGCTGCGCCTTGTCCAGCAGGTGGAAAGACATACTGACAGAGTTTTGTTTTCTGTGTGTGTTGAGCGTAGCATCTCTTCTCATGGCCGTGTTTTACAGCGGAAAGCTGCAGGGCCGAGTCCTGTGGCTCAGGCCTGTAATCCCAGTACTTTGGGAGGACAAGGAAGGAGGATCGCTTGAGCACAAGAGTTTGAAATCAGCCTGGGCAACATAGCAAGACCCCATGTCTACACAAAGTAGATTTTTAAAAAGTAGTCTGGTGTGGTGGCACATGACTGTAGTACCAGCTACTGGGGAGGCTGAGGTGGGAGAATCACCTGAGCCCAGGAGGTTGAGGCTGCAGTGAGTCATCTTCATGCCACTGTACTCCATCGTGGGTAACAAAGCAAGATCTTGTCTCCAAAAAAAAGCAAAACTGAGGCTGGCAGAAATGCCGAGTTCAGATTCCAGGGGGCGGGACTGGATTTTTAAATTTGGCTCCTGAGTCCTAACTCATCCCTGTCATCAGTGACTCTCAGACGGGACTTACATAAGATACCAGTTATCAGGGAGTCTAATATGGGCTGTGGGACCAGGATTTCTTTACTTTTTTTTTTTTTTTTTTGAGACGGAGTTTCCCTCTTGTTACCCAGGCTGCAGTGCAATGGCACGATCTCGGCTCACCGCAACCTCCGCCTCCTGGATTCAGGCAATTCTCCTGCCTCAGCCTCCTGAGTAGCTGGGATTACAGGCACGTGCCACCATGCCCAGCTAATTTTTTGTATTTTTAGTGGAGACGGGGTTTCACCGTGTTGACCAGGATGGTCTCGATCTCTTGACCTCGTGATCCACCCGCCTCGGCCTCCCAAAGTGCTGGGATTACAGGCTTGCGCCACCGTGCGCAGCCTCCTCCTTTACTTTTTAAGAGACAGAGTTTCCCTGTGTTGGTCTTGAACTCCTGGGTGCAAGCAGTGCTACAGCCTCTGCCTCCTAAGTAGCTGAGACTGCAGGCGTGCACCACCGTGTCCAGCTCATTTTTACATCTACTTTTTGTAGACGTGGACACTCTCTATGTTGCCTGGGCTGGTTTTGAACTCCCGGGCTCAGGCAGTCCCCCAACTTTAGCCTCCAGAATAGCTGAAACCATAGGTGCAAGCTGGAAGCAGGATTTCTAGCCAGCACCACAGTCAGTGTAGCTGCATGTGTCCCCTAAAACCCCCATTTCCCCAAACTTTGCCGAGAGTCTGCTGGAGCATGCGCTCTTTCTCCCTTCCCAGGTAAACCTGAACACCATCAAGCGCTGCCTCCTCATTGACTACAACCCTGACTCCCAGGAGCTGGACTTCCGCCACTAGTGAGCATCCCAGCAGGCCAGGGATGAGGGGGTACGGGATGGGGGCCTCTGCAGGCGGCTGATGACAGCACTCCTGCTGAGACTCTGATTGCTCTGTCTCAAAGTAAACGCCCTAACGCACTGTGGGAAGGACGAGATGTGGACTGCCAGCCCCAAGACCCCTGACCACCCCCTTGTCATCCACTCATGTCCCCACAGTAGCATCAAGGTGGTTCCTGTGGGTGCGAGTCGCGGGATGAAGAAGCTTCTCCAGGAGAAGTTCCCCAACATGAGCCGCCTGCAGGACATCAGCGAGCTGCTGGCCACGTAAGGAGGGCACAGGATGGGAGGCTACCCGCAGCCCAGGCACCCCAGAATGGGCCCGGGAGTCTGAGCTCCCCCATCGAGCCACGAGTGTTCCCCATATAGGGGCGCAGGGCTGTCGGAGAGTGAGGCGGAGCCTGACGGTGAGCATAACATCACGGAGCTGCCCCAGGCTGTCGCTGGCCGTGGCAACATGCCGGCCCAGCAGAGCGCTGTGCGGCTCACTGAGGTGAGGCCCAGGGCAGGTGACCCTTGGGGACCCCCAGCCCCACCAATGGGCTCACACTTCTCTCTCATTGCCCCAGATCGGCCCGAGGATGACGCTGCAACTCATCAAGATCCAGGACAGCATTGGGGAGGGCAAAGTAATGTTCCACAGTTTTGGTGAGGCTGGGGCCCAGGGGTGGGTGGGTCACGGATGTGGCGCTGCACCCGACTCTTGGTGACCCGCATCTCCCTGTTCAGTGCACAAGACGGAGGAGGAGCTGCAGGCCATCCTGGAAGCCAAGGAGAAGAGACTGCGGCTGAAGGCGCAGAGGCGGGCCCAGCAGGCCCAGAATGTGCAGCGCAAGCAGGAGCAGCGGGAGGCCCACAGGTCTGGGTGGGGCTTGGCAGGGCCAGGCCAGGGGTCCTGGGGATGGGCAGCCACCTTGACCACCACCCAATCCCTCCTTCAGGGAGAAGAGCCTGGAGGGCATGAAGAAGGCACAGGTTGGGAGCAGTCACGAAGTGGCCTCGAGGAGAGCAAGCCCGTGGTTGAATGAGGAGTTCGATGACCTGGAAGACGATGACGTCGAGTATTTCTGCCAGGCGGTGGGCGAGCCGCCCAGTGAGGGTATGGAGTGGGTTCTGCAGCGGGTTCCCCAGGGCTTGTCCTTGTTCCTGGGGCCCTGACATGGTCTCTTCCCCACAGACCTGTTCCCTGAGGCAAAGCAGAAACAGCCAGCCAAGTGTCCGAGCTGGAAGCGGCGGGAAATAGACCGAAGCCAGGGTCGCTTTAGTGACCGGAAGTTGCCCAAGGACAAGCCCCAGGGGGCCCAGGGCAGGCGGGGGCCAAAGGGGGTTTCCTGGCATCGTGGACGGGGCCGGGGCCGGCCACAGAAGAGAGCAGCGTGAGGCCCAGCCGCGCTGGAGCAGTGGATAGATTGAACGCCCCAGATTGGGGCCCGAGAGACGCGGCCCTCGGTTTCCTTTCATAAAGGAGTTCTGTCCCCAACCCTTCCATTCCAATAAAGGACTGAACTGACCAGGGGTTGTTCCATTAGGTGGGGGCACATCAGCTTTTGGGATGGGGGATCCTGGAGCCCTACAGAGCAACCCAGAGAGGCCTGGGCTGGTGACACTTGGGAGTCCCGGGCTGGTGACACTTGGGAGTCCCGGGCTGGTGACACTTGGGAGTCTCCCACCTGGTTTGCTCTTGGAAGCTGGGTCCCTTTCCCCCTTCCTGCATGGGGTTGGGTGGTGTCACTGGTGGCAGTATTGGGCATGGGCAGCCCCTCCCCACAGTGCTACCAAGAGCCCTTCAAGCAGACAGAGGTCACGCTTTAAGCACATGGGCCTGAACCCCCGGCTGACTGGCACAAAGAGGAAGGAAATGTGGGTGGAAACAGGATGCTCTGGTCTGCTCTGCTGGCTGGCCCCGGAACGGTGGGGCGGGACTGGAGCTTGGCCACAGGAGGTTGAGGAGAGACAGAGGAACTGGGTTGCAGACAAGCTCAGGCTCGGCAGACGGCGCGGGAGCATGGCAGCCAACCACTCAGGTGAGGAGAAGGTGTGATGGCTTACCCAGGGGTCTGCAGATTGTCAGAAGGTGGGGTCGGTCGGGGATGGGTATTGGTAAAACCTAGGTTGAGGCTGCTTGTGGCAGGAGCCTGTGGTCCCAGCTACTCAGGAGGCTGAGGCAGGAGAATCACTTGAGCCCAGGAGTTCAAGCCTGCACTGAGCTGTGATTGCACTTCAGCCTCAGTGACGGCGAGATCCTGTCTCCAGAAAAAAGTGAGGCATAAATGGCACTTCTTCCCTGAGCAGGCTGGGGTTGGGAGTGGGTAGGCACTTCCGGAGGAGCCTGTTCCCGGTGGGAGTGGGGAACATGAGGAGTGAGCGCCCCTGTGCTGCTGTCCCCTGTGCACTGTGTTGGGCACTGGTGCCAGTAGTGGGTAAGCAGAGCCCCTCGTCCTCCCAGAGGAGGGAGATTTTCTGTCATTAGGCGGGGGCACGATATGGAGGAAAATGCTGGGGAGAAGGGAGAATGGAGGGCATGAGGCTGCAGGCACGTTTTGGGGGCTCTGCAGGCAGGACCACAGACGTGGGAGAGGGAGCCTCAAGAATGTCAGGGTGTGACCCGGCATGGTGGGTCATGCCTGTAATCCCAGGGCTTTGGGAGGCTGAGGTGGGTGGATCACCTGAGGTCAGGAGTTGGAGACCAGCCTGAAAAGGAAATCAGAGGTCAAAGTGGTTCAAACATTGGTTTTGGCGGAGGAAATCAGAGCTAGATAACCAAGCTCCAAAGTGCTAGAGGTGGGTGGGATAAATGTAATTTAGCAAATCATTCAGCTCTTGGAGGCAACCTTTGTGCCTCCTGCTGGAAATACCAGCACCACTCAAGTTTTTCCAGTACAGAAAGGACTTCTAAAAATCCTTAGAAGTCAGTAGTAACCAACATTGGGAATCCCCATCTCTACTAAAAATACAAAAATTAGCCCAGCGGGGTGGGGCACACCTGTGATCCCAGATACTCGGGAGGCGGAGGATGCAGTGAGCCGAGATTGCACTACTGCACTCCAGCCTGGCGCCAGAGTGAGACTGTGTCTTAAAAAAAAGTCGGTGGGAAGGTCCCAAGGAAGAAGCCTGCAGAAGCAGCCGGGAAGCCAGAGTGGGCTAGCCTGAGGGAGTGAGTCGGAGCAGAGAGGATGGCACTGGGGAGTGTGGCAGGTGGGAGCGCACCCATGGAATCTTATGGGGTGAGTGTGGCTCTTTGGTGGCAACTCCACGGCCAAGTGAGCTGGAAGCAGAGGGGTGGGGACAGGACTCCAGCACTCGCAGGTGCCCTCTGGTGGCCACGGAGAGAAGAGGCTGTGGGTGAGGGCTGCACCCCAATGGGGCTTCAGGCAGCACAGATCCGAAGCGAAGCTGGCAGGACTTGTCAGGGTTGGACTTCAGGGAGAAGGCCTCTAGTGGGGCCAGGGACTCCGGTAGACGAGGGTAATGGGGGAGCTGGGTGGCCACTGGCTTGCCCCAGCTGGCCCACTGGGGCCCAGTGCAGAACCCTGGCTCTGAGTCCTGATCCTGGCCATATAATGGAGTAGAGCCTGGTCCCCTTCCAGGAAGGGGAAAGGACTCGTGTCAGGATCCATGCCATGGTGGGCTTGGGGGGGGGGGGGGCAGCAGGAGCTACCTTATGGGAGATGACGGCTCAGGTGGTGACACCTTCTGCCCACAGGTGCCACGGCCTGCCCTGTCTACTTCTTGGTGGCTGCTGACCACATCCTCAATACATTCCAGGGGAACTTCCTGTGGCCCATACTGGTGGTTGAGTTCCTGGTGGCTGTGGCCAGCAATGGCCTGGCCCTGTACCGCTTCAGCACCCGGGAGCAGCGCCCATGGCACCCTGCTGTGGTCTTCTCAGCCCAGCTGGCAGTCAGTGACCTGCTCTGTGCCCTGACGCTGCCCCCGCTGGCCGCCTACCTCTATCCCCCCAAGCACTGGCGCTACGGGGAGGCCATGTGCCGTCTGGAGAGCTTCCTCTTCACCTGCAACCTGCTGGGCAGTGTCATCTTCATCACCTGCATCAGCCTCAACCGCTACGTGGGCATCGTGCACCCCTTCTTCACCCGCAGCTACCTGCGGCCGAAGCACGCCTGGGCCCTGAGTGCCACAGGCTGGGTCCTGGCCGCCCTGCTGGCCTCGCCCACGCTCAGCTTCTCCCACCTGAAGAGGCCACAGCAGGGGGCGGGCACCTGCAGTGTGGCCAGGCCTGAGGCCTGCATCAAGTGTCTGGGGACAGCAGACAGCCACAGGCTGGCGGCCTACAGAGCGTACAGCCTGGTGCTGGCGGGGCTGGGCTGTGTCCTGCCACTGCTGCTCACGCTGGCAGCCTATGGTGCCCTTGGACTGGCTGTGCTGCGCAGCACAGGTATGACTGTGGCCGAGAAGCTGCGTGTGGCAGCACTGATGGCAAGTGGCGTGGCCCTCTATGCCAGCTCCTATGTACCCTACCACATCATGCGGGTGCTCAATGTGGAGGCTCGGCGGCGCTGGTACAGCCACTGCCCAAACTTTGCAGATGTGGGCCAGGCCACGGCGGCCCTGGAGTTGGGGCCCTACGTGGGCTACCAGGCGATGAGAGGCCTCATGCCCCTGGCCTTCTGCATCCATCCGCTGCTCTATATGGCCGTGGTGCCCAGCCTCGACTGCTGCCGCCAACACTGCCCCGGCTACAAGGACAGCTGGAAGCCAGAGGACACCAAGAGCACCGGCCAAGCCCTGCCCCTCAATGCCACAGCCACTCCTGAACCATCGGAGCCCATCCCATGAGGTGAGTCTGTGATGTGGCCTGGCTAAAGCCACCTCCTTATTCCAGGTGTCATTCCAAGGTGCCACTTCCCCCAGAAAGCAAGGCCTGTGACTGCAGCCAGGTTGGGCCTGCTGCAGCCCAGGCAGGAGTCACCTTTCCCACCCAGAGCACTGGCTACAGGGACTCCGCAGGGTCAGGGACCAAACCCATACCCGGGGGAGGGCAGGGGCTGGTCCCACTGCAGGACTGAGAACTAGATGCAAGAATAAACAGGGCGGCGTAGAGAGAGAGGAGCCTTTTTATTGCCCTT